GAACCGACGCACCTTAACCTAATCCTAACCAACAACCCCACAATTCTATTTTCTATATAATCTTATTTAAATTTTCTCGCAAAACTAGAGTACTTTTATATGAAAATTTAAAACATTATCTGGGTTTCTTAATTTGTATCATCGTTTCTCTTTTTTTAACTTATATTATTAAGGCTTCTGGGTACTCGCCGCGGCCATGTTAGATTGTGAGAAATCGTCAGAAGCAAAAAATGATACGCTGAGAATTCTTGCGTGCCATTTCCAAATAAAAAGATATTTGCATAAAATAAGACTTCAGATCATTTCAGCACACTTCAAAAATACTCTGAGGTCCCCTTTCCCTTTAGGGGAGAGTGGGGCTAGTCGTTACAATTTGCAAATAATAATTTTTAAACCGAATATTCTGCACCCTAACTTTCTGAAAGTTATACCGTTGGTTTGGTACAACATTGGAGAATGTTCCAATTTTTTTTCATTCCTATCTAAATATTAATATATGGGATAAATAATTAAATATGGAAGCATGTTTTTTGTAACAACATGTCCTCTAGTGGGGATAGTTGTTACAGTGGGGGGTATAAGTTGTTACATTGGTCAAAGAAGTTAAAAAGAGGAAAATTAACGTTGTATTAATGATTTTATTGTATCACTTACTGAAATGAGTTACATTTCCTTTTGTCCTTTCATACTTTGTGTTTCTGTCGTCTAAATATCACTACTGATAATGGAATGTCAGTAAAGAACTCATTTTTATTGAAGGTGAAAATAATTTGATAAATTGTAAGTAATTGCGAAATGGTAAGCAAATTACAACACAAAAAACAAGAAATATTGCTTGATATTTCAGTTATATAATTTAAGCAATAAGAAAATACCAAAAAAAAAAAAAAATCAAAATTCCAACGTCTTTGAAAAAATAATTGCGTTTTAATCAAAATCAGAGTTGCAGTTGTCGCAAACATAAAACACTTCGTTTTTTGCACATTTTGCATGTGTTTTACAGTGTAACAATCTACCCCTTCAAAAATGTAACAATTAGCCCCTTCTAGACACTTCATTATAGGTTATTGAATCTGAGAAAAACAGAAAGTTTTATTGTATCAAATATATCACCAAATTATTTCATAATAATCACAAATGTAACCATATACTTTTTAAACACTAACCTTTTATATATTTTGTTGCACAGCAATCAAATCTTCCGAGAAAATGTAGATCGCCAAGGCTGATTTTACAAAAAGCTTTGTGACGCACTCCGTTAAGCTAGACTAACCTAAACCCGTCAGAACTTGTATAACAACAAGCGTGTTGATCTCCAATAGTCTTCACTGCTCTGTCATCTATTGCTTTTTTTTAAAAGCCACTGTATCAACCTACCCGTGTAACAACAAGCCCCACTCTCCCCTACAGTTAATAAACAGCCGTGAAATGAATGTAATACAAAGCTTATTCATGCGCTTGCGCATCATAAACCTACATCACTAGGCTTCGTATTATCTTTATATCTTTTTATTTGGAAATGGCACGCAAGAATTCTCACCGTATCATTTTTCTGACGTCACAATCTTACATGACCGTGGCAAGAGCCCAGGAATCTTAAAAGAATAAAATCTAGAGCAACCCGTTTCAAATATCTGAAAAAGTATTGAAAAGAAATAGTGAATTTTTATAAAATAATTTTTGTACATAGTACAAAATTATCATTTTTTATCTTCAAAAAATATTGCAAAACAATAAAATCTATGTCATAAACATAAAAATGTTTTAATACATAATTTTTTAAAGAAATTCTTTAAACTATATAAAAACAAATTATTTGTATATAAATCTAAAAATATATCACAAAATACTGTACTTATTATTTAAAAGTATTATAGATACTTGCAAAATAAAAGCAAAATTTATGGAAAAATCAACTCGATAAAATTTTCTTGAGAATTTCTCCCGATTTATTCAGACGAAGAAAGATTCCCTGAGTGACTTCGAATAAATTCCGATAAATTCAATCGGCAATTAAGCAAGTTACACATATATTCAATAATATGGAAAGAATGATTAATTTCATGTTATTTGATGTATGGAAAAAAATTAGATCAAAAGAACAATAAATTATTATTAGATTTTTGTTGTAATTCTGCCGATCGAAAATCGCTAATTGAGTTAATTCAAATCATCCTGAAAATTTCAATTTTTCTAGATTTTGCCAGATTTGTAGACACTTTGCAATAGAAAAATAAATTCTTTATCTTTTCATATCATAATGCGAGGAACTAACATAATAAATGTATTAAAAATATGTGAGAAATTTCAATTTCTTCTCGATTAGTAATGACGTACGTAATTAACGATTAGTAATGACATGTAACACTGTTGCGAAATTGATTTTGTAATCTTTACGTTATCGAAAAGAATTATACACTGCGATTATAGCACAATTTGCAGTATGTACAAGTTCGTAATATTTCGTTTTATACCCACAATGCAAATCTGTAGTCAATTATTTTTCTTATCTATTAATTATCAAAAGAAAGACCAGCGGCCTACTTTCTTGGAATAATCCAAATCTTTGTGAAAATTGCAAAATATAATTTTAAAAAAATGATTGCAAGTTTTATCACCATTTTATTATATATCTGAAGAAAAGGATAATAGATAAATTCCGTTAACATACCGTCGCGTATTATTTTTACCTTTTAGATTCTTTCATCTAATTAGAATATATTTTTTTTTCAACAAAAATATCAAGGAACCATTGGTTCCAGATAATTAAAGGTTAAAAACAAGAGCTTTATTTATTTTCTCGTTGATATCTAAGCCGGGGCAAACTTGACACTAGGCTTTTTGCTAATTTAAATCTATCGTAGAAACTTGTCTTCCCTATAATGCGTCTTTATGTGTCACACTGATAAAAATAAGTCATCATTTTACTGTGAAAATCGGTGGTCATTTTTAACCTTCGATTTACACAGTTAAAATACAGAGTAATGTAAGGTTAAGTAGCCAAATATCTGAAATATCTGTAGTATCTGTGGGGTGTAAAATTTGTGGCTTTACTCGTAAAAGCACAAAATCTATACTTATACACCATTATAATTATATAATTTTTCGAGTAACAGTTATGTAATTTAACTCAAAACGCTAAACTTACTTTAAACAAAATTAAGTTTTCGTTAAATATTTTTTCGGTTTACTGCCTGGTGATAAAAGTACTTGATTTATTTTAATATTCACTTTAGCACAGTAAATTTACTTCTAATATAAAATAGCAATTTTTGATACAACAGTTACTCGAGAAATTACATAATTATAATGGTGTATAATTATAGATTTTGTACTTTTACGAGTAAAGTCACAAATTTCACATCTCACAGATACTGCAGATATTTCGGATATATTTGCTTAACCTTCTATACTGCAATGATTTCGAATATACCGTAATATCGTATTACTATGCTACTGAGAGTAAAATGCCAGACTATAAATTTGCTGTATAGAAATAAAATTTAAGCACATGTATGTAATGCTATGGATGAATTTAACAATACCGGGAGCTAATTTACAAATAATCTATAAAAATACCAGATTTAGTTAATTTTTCATAAAATTCCTGTATTTCTAACTGAAACAAGAGAAAAAAATGCAAATTTTAAGTAAAAAACTATAAAATAATTAATTTACCAAAAAAATAAATAAATTTCCTCCATAATTCTCCGTAAATTCGCATCGATTTTTATCAGTGCAGTGTTGTCAACGGAATTCGGTAACATTCAAAGTTATGGTGTAATGCGACATAAGCGTTTTTGATAGTGAAAAGTTCCTTCTGATCTCTCGAAAATTGTTACTCTTTCATCGAGCTTTACTCTTGCGAATCTACAGTAAGTAGATAATTTTGATAGGATATTCGATGCTCTATACAAATTCAATAATCATTTTTGCATATTTTCAAACTTTTTTATGTTTTTGGAGTGACAAAAGTAAAAAACGACGTCCGGAGCAAAGTCGACACCACGCCGTTTCGTCGGCTCCTAATACAAACGATACTTGTCATGCAGCTATATGATCCATGTGTATATGACCTATGACAAATGTGTGCGCACGTCCGATCGTGTTTTTACCTGCATTAATTGTTTTTCAGACATGAGTTTAGATGAAGATAATTGTAAAGTTCAACAATTTTTTTTCTCATTAGTTTCAATAATTGTTTTTCTTTATTCCGAATTTTTGTACTTTCTAAATACGATAAACAATGTATGTTTAGTTTCAGACAATAAAAAATAAGTTCCAGATCAAATTGTGTCGATCAGGCAAAGTGTCAAGTTTGCTCCGGCATTTTTCAATTTGAAAATTTGTCTTTGCGTCACTTTTCCTTTACTGGGGGCAAAACTAAGCGACGTACAGCAAAACTTGCTTAAGCAATTTTGTACTTAAAGGAACACTTTTTAAGTGTACTATTAATTTCGGTTGAAAATTTTAACTAATTGTTGAAAATTGCCTTTAAAAAATCGTGTCGAGTTTGACCCGGTTTCCCCTACATTATTCCTGATTTCTTCAGGAAAAAATTCTTTGAGAGATTCCAAGTTTTCCAACATTTTTCAAGTAAAACATCCTATTCTGTAACTCTTATTGTTAGTGACATTATCACTATCATTATATTGCCGTTATGCAGCTTTTTTACCATATATTATATCCGCGATAATATAACAATAACGACACTGTTGTTAAGCGTTATAGAACAGAAGCGAGATTCTGTAACTCCTTAACGACAATTTTGATATCGTTGAGGTATTATCCATCCATCCATCCATCCATAGGGTAATTCCGGTATTTACGCC